CAGAAAAAAATCACAAAAAAATTACAAAAAAACACAATAAATCAAGAGAAAATCACAAAAAATCAAGAAAAACAGAAAAATCGATGTACGCTACAATTTATAGTGAAGGACCCCTCGTCTAAACGTCACACCAGGCCCAACGGAAGCGAAACAATTATTAGAATATTGCGCTCGCACACGTTTGTGTCGAGCCGGTTCAGAAAAGTTGTTGGTGTTTATTCGGGTTTTGACTTGAACGCCCGCGACCCCGCGTCGCGAGGGCGCGCCTTGGGAACTGACTCGCTGCCGGATGTGACGATGATCCGTCCCTGCCTCCTCAGGACCTGCCGCCGTACGAGACCGGCTTCAAGGTGATGATCCTCGTGGCCAGCTACCTGCTGGACGCCATCGAGCTGGTGCTGCTGTACGTGTTGCCCTTCGTCGCGCTCGTCACGGCGGTCGTGATCGTGCGCCGGCTCCTGCTGCTGCGGCGCGCCGGGACTGCGCTGTGCGCGGCCGACGACCGCGGCGCCTACGAGCGCCCCGTCTCGTACGAGGACGAGGCCGCCGACAAGACCTACTGCAGCTGAGCAGACTACGGCGGCGTCCTGGTGCAGAGGACCACGGCGACGACGACCCCCTGTTCTTTGAACCGCGAAGCACCCCCAAGACCTGACTGGATGAACCCTTCCAGGACTCATGCTGGACCCCTCTCGGAGTCTTACAAAGACGTCCCCCGGGGGTTCTGGCGTGCCCCCTCAAGGATCTCTCCAGGACCTATCCAGGGCTCCCCCAAGACCCCTACCCTACAGGACCCGGTGAGATGGGGCGGGCCCACGTGGTCTCCATGATGTCGGAGTGCGTACGGGTACCGTTCAGTGAAGTCGCTCTCAGCGCGAGTTTTGTGATAACCAAAGACTTCCTGCCGGTGATAGAGCAGTTATGCTCAAGTTATTCGGACTTTTTTTTTTCTGTACTACCCACTACCCCACTACCCCCCTATTATGCCGTGCCACCGATATTTTTTTTCTTTCGACGAGTTGCAGCGCAAGGATACCTCCCATGATGATGGTACTATACGGTGATAACGTGTGCAATACTCGATGCGTTCGGATGTGTTCTTCCGACTCGAACCATATTTATACGTGGCATTTCATCTGGCATGCTACTTCGTACACTTGTTCTTTCCCCTCTCATCGTCTGAGCATTGTGGCGGTGGCAGTGGCTTCTTTTCTCGTTGCTCTCGGTTCAGCCACTACCCTCAGAGAAATGGAGATATCGAGACGAAATTGGACTGAAATCAGAAAGCTTACGAATTTTGTGTTGAATCGATTACAATCAAAATCAAAAAATGCTGACTTCTCTGATGAAATAATGCGATCGAAATCAGAAAATTGTCGACTTTTGTGTCGAAACGATTATAATCAAGGCCTAAATTCGACTTATCTCTGATATTGCACATCGTTTTGATTTCTTAAGGGGTATTATTTTCTCGCGTTTTAGCACAATGGCTAGGGCCACGGGTCACCGTCTGATTGAAGTACCGAACATTCGACACGTGCACTAAAAGTGGTATGAAAAATCAGCCGTTTTTCAGTGTGTTGAAGCGAGTAATAAGCTTCTTTTTAATAACTTCTGCGACATACCGCACCGCATCACCTTGTTTCCCCCTGTTCAAACAACAGCAATCTGTGATATTGGTGTACTTATTTCACAGCTAAACGTCACCATGAATGGAAGAATGCATATTATTATGTATATTTAAAACAACAAAAGAAAATATTAAAAAAAATA